GGGTGAAGATATGATCAATACACCCTCTTCCTGGTCTAAAGCCTGCCTGGCTCTCTCGTGTTTGTGCCTCCCGAGCACCACTCAGTCTACGCATGATTATTGAGCCTAAGACTTTAGATACTATATTAGTCAAGCTAATCCCTCTGTGATTATCACAGGAAGACTTGTCTCCCTTCTTGTATATGGGGATAATCAGTGACTTACACCAACCCGATGGGACTTCTTCTGATTCCCAGACGCTGCCTAGTACCTCAGTTAATCCAGACAGTAAGCTGTCTCCACCGTACTTAAATACCTCTGGAGTCATTCCATCAGGTCCCGCTGCTTTGCCTAGTTTCAGATTGGTGACAGCTTTAGTAACCTCAGTTAGGGATGGAGGACCTGTGTTTATATCCCATTCAGGGAGGTGTTGGATGCTCGGAAGGTTGAGCGTGGCTGTGGGCAAATTAAACTGCTCCTCATAAAATCAGTTGGTTGACAATAATTACAACTCAGACAGATGATGTTGCTTTTCGTTCTACAGCTTTTCTCTATATTGTCATTTAAAACGGCGTTATCTACTACACAGACATGAAAAAGAAGGGAACTGGTAAGAATTTCATCATGTGACGTAATATCCTGTTCTATTGACTTAGGTGTATTGTCAGTATCTGAATGCCCATACAATCAAAGTCTTGTTGAGTTTGAATGACACTTAAGTATCATGATTGAATTATTGGTATGGGAAAGAAAAATCCCTGTTAAGACATTGAGAAGACAAAGGGATTGAGCAAAAAAAATATTTACTCTCCAATTAGATCCTCATCTAGGGCTTTACTCTAGTGTATACAGAACATATTTAATACTGCTATATGTGTATATATTAGAGCAGAGCCATAGAAGAGGATCTAACTGGAAAGTAAATAATTCTTCTTGTATATCAATGAGTTGCTCACTAGCGACTTGCCCTATTCAGTTAGGTAGTTACCTGGGGTTCAAGTGAGAAGTCGTGACCAGTAGGGTGAAGCAGGTCGGTTGTGAGGACAAATACTCGCCGAAGACATTGGCTAGGGGTCGCCCTATGTCGTGAATTGGTAGAAGTTGGAATTCGTGGGCCATTGGGTCGGGTCCCAGTTGTTTAATGGTGTACGAGCTCGCTGGCCTTTTAACCGGAAGGTCCTGGGTTCGAACCTTGGAGGTGCAAGCTTACTGATGAAGAGTCCCAAACTAGGAGGAAACGGCTGTTCAGTACTCCCAGGTTTTCCAATGGTTCTCTAACCAATGTCAGCTCATGATGAAATCATGTAACCAATCAACCAAATCCCTACAAACCAACACCTGAATATCTTCTTCCAATCCTTTTGTTTTCTGGTTTATTAGTGTCGAATAAAATGCTTTAGTAAATCATCCACTTGTTAAAACAATATCTGGTACATTGTTTGTGCTTCAACTGACACTTCAGCTGCAGTGCCTTCATTCAAGTCACTTAGGCACTCGACTTTTGGCTAGTGTAGCCAGGGTTCGAGTCCTGCCTCGTCTATCTCAACCTAGGCAATTGGGTAGTATCACAAGCCCTCATACATTGAATGTGGTATGTATAAAAGGTTTGTACCGAGTAACTGAGTTCTGACTCATTCATACTGAGATTCAGTGGACGAATTGTCGTATTTTCTACGTAATGGTTAGAAAGAGAAGAAAAACTATTTTTTCCTGAGCTTACACCATTCCAGTATTTATTTTGTTCTTATAAACATTTATGCGACTCATCTGAATTGTGAATTCCTGGTATCATTACTTCGATATTTTTGAGCACGTGCATAGTTTATTATAAATGAGTTAATAAATGGTTAATTATTAGAGTTACTTATATGTACTATAACGTCTCATCTTGTTAATATTTAGTTTGCTGTATCTATTGGAATCGTGCCACATTGAACTTACACACAGTTACACGTCATTTATTTATGGCTGACTGTCGTTAAGAGGGTAGTTTGAGTAATTATGCATCTCACTTCATGTGGTCTAATTTTCAAAACTTAGAGAAAAAGACAAGCGGTTCAATAATCTTAGCATTATAACCATAGGTTTGAAAAATCTACCCCGCATATTTTAGTTAGGATAACTTATTAGTATTATTGTTCCCTTGGGTTCCTAGTGGAACATAGGGCTTCAACTGCACGTCTCCACTTGCTTCTGTCTTCTTTCTGCTGTACGTTTCACCTGAATCCATGTTAGTCCATACTCTTTCAACTCCTCTTCACACGATCTCCTCCATGTCACCCTTGCACTGATGTCCCACTCGCTGCTTCCCTTTCAGTCTGGTTCCACTCCAGCAATGGCCTGACACGCGCGCGATGTCACCCAGCGGCCTCCTCAGCAAGCGAGTGTCCAATCCATCTCCACTTAGTTTCATGATAAATCCTAACACATTCCCTATGACTTGTAGTCTAGAACACATATTTATATATTAAATTTTGGTGTTACATTATTTCGTCTAGTTTAATTGACTAATCTATTTCCAGCCTTTTGGTTGAGACTAGTAGTGGGTCAGTTCGAGGCAGCCTCCAGTTTTGTATTAGGTCTAATAGGAATAAGTTTACACATCATTTCTGTCGATGAATATAATTAGAACAGAGTCCAAAATTTAAGAGTTGAATAGTAGTAGTTATAAACAATAATTTTTTCTTGAAACCTCATTCAGTTGACAGTACTTTTATATCAGACAGATTTGATTGCATGGAGGGTTTCATCATGAGCTGACATCAGCTAGAGAACCACTGGAAAACCTGGAAGTACTGAACAGCTGTTTCGTCCTAGTTTGGGACTCTTCAACAGTACATACTGAGACGAAACAACTGTGCAGTACTCCCAGGTTTTCCAATTGTCCTCTAATTGATGTCAGCTCATGATGAAATCCTCCATGCAATCAAACAGAAAATCCCTACAAAACCAATACTTGACAAACTAGATTGATTTGTCTAACTAGCACTTGACACTTATTCTGAAGCCCACCAGTAACTAACTACTGGACGAAGTTGCCTGAAGATCTAGGGTAAGAAGTCATGGCCAGTGGGGTCCACCAGGTTGGGTATAAGGACAAATACCCACTGATAACATTGGCTGACAGTGGCGCTTGAAAGCGTGAAATGATGAATATTTAAAGATTCGTTTCATTTTTATCAAATTAAATTTGATGTCTTGAAGTTGTCTGTACCTATGCTTATGATGAGGATACTGAAGGATCACATCTTTTTTTATCAGAGTTTTATGTCAGAAAGTTTGATCTATAATTCTTTAGATCGCATAACTAGCACATTAGGTTGACATTATCCTTTTTTTCATGTGTCAAAAATATGGCATAGTGATGTTTTCTCTTATACTGTATAAAAAAAAACTCATTTTTGGAATAGTAACTTAAAACTCTGAAAACCTTTGCAATGAATATCATATTAGTATTATATTATCTACGTGTATGAATTTACTGAATATCATAATTTGATGTTATTATTTTTTTTTAAAACTTTTTTTGTTTAGACGATAAGTTGTCAAAAGTATGACAGTAATTCTTACAGATTTGTTAGATGGTGATTGTTGCTGTTATTTCTGATCAATTTATCAGCTTTCTATGCGGTTCTGTATTTTACTACACAAACTTCGGGCAACTGTGCGTATCGACTACTTCAAGTATTTGAGAGGTTGCATCAGCTCTAGTGGACTGATTGCTGATCAATTCTCAGGAAGGATAAAAGAGATTGGTTTTGGGGTTTGCCAACTTACATCATCTCTGACGTAGATGTGATATATATATATATATATCCAGCTATCGATCAAAAGACATGTATATTGCTCAACAGTTCGCCTCGTCCTCCCTTATGGCTGCTGGTGATGGTCATTGAAAGTTGGCTGTCTTTGACCAGAGGTGTTTGCGTCCTGTCTCCTGTGTTAATTGATATGCTATGATGGGCAATACTGAGCTTAGGCTCAGAGTGCTAAGTAAAGAAGGGAAATCGGTCTATGACGTCGTGAAGCTACATCGATTGAAGCGGTTACGACACGTGTTGCGCAGGCGAAGCCTCCGCTTTCCCAGTCAAGGAGTGTTAGCTAACATAAATTTCTCTTGGAGTGGTCAAATCAAAACCTTGCATCAATCCATGAAATGCTTGACAGTTGGTTAGAGCCAGGTAGGGAGGTGTAGACTGCCTGTTGGGGGTGTGGGGATGTTAAAAACCAATGGCTGGAGACCATTGGTGATAAAACTCAAAATATGGAGTGTGGTAACTTGAATCGCTGCACTTCTCTGCAAAGTGTTATGTTGAAAGTCAATCATTTTTGTACAGGGGTTCCTTTTAACAAATAGCTTTGACTTATGTAGTTATACGTAAGGACTACAATTCATAGTACACAACAGTTTCGGGAAATTATTTCACCCAGAGGAAAGTAGTGTGCTATTAGCGTTGATTTTATCAAGAACCGACAAGAGTTAGAAAACCATAACAATGTAAGAAGCACTGGAAAGTTGTCACATTCTAATCGGAGACGCCTTAGCCATGCGGATCCACGACCCCACCTCGAGTTGGACCCAGGACATTCGAACTGTGAAGTGAGTTTGTTGACCATTCAACAACTTGGTTGGAGTCCAACTGACTTCTGTCAGTTCACAAAATATGATACCGCCGCCATTCAAGTGCCTTCAACGACATGGTGGACCTCATCGGTCATGACTTTTTGTTTAAACTCCATGAAGTCAATCCCGTAATCAGTCACTGATGAGCAATTTATTAGTTTTCAAGGGTTGCTTTGTAAGGATTTGATCGATTTCAGGGTTTGTTTCGTCACTGACCAACATCAATGCTTTCAAAGTAGTCATGATTATTATAGTTTCGATTCTTGCCTTGTAACGTATCAAACATGTTCATTGCTCTTATAACGCATAACACATTTCTTACTTAAGAATATCGATAACCAAGTAAATACTGTTGTTTATTTATGTTTTATTTTTCATTTCAATGTTTTTTTCTTAGATGGCTGGATTTCTTCAATCCTTGGCATATCGTTTTGGTGTAAATATTCTATGCTATGATTATTCGGGTTATGGTGCAAGTTCTGGTCAAAGATTAGAAGAAAATTTATACGCAGATGCGGATGCAGTGTTGCATGAATTAAGGGAACGCTTCAATGTACCGCTTAATCGTATTGTGTTATATGGACAAAGTATTGGAACTGCACCTACAGTTGAACTGGCGACTAAGTACAAGGTATGCTTCAGTTGAATTCTTTTGTTGATGTATTTATCTTAAAGTGATAAAAGAGTAGTGCATATATCATACATTTATAATCATTAACAAATAAATTTATGTATTTAAATTATTACTGACATGTGTTAGCATTGTCGAATTGTGCAGTACTTTGCAAGGTTGGTAAGAACCTGTGTCAGTACTCACCCTCTTTTTTGAAACTTCAGTAATCAGCAGCCTAGTTGCACCTTGCTGGTTGTTGTGTGAATGCTGATAGAGATTTGACGCAGATGTGATTTCTGATTTTATGTCGTATGTCAATTCGCATCACTTCTGGATGTGCGATGCTGTGGTGCGGTGCTCTTTTGCTTCCTGTCTATGGAAAGTGGTGTTTATGCTCTAAAGATGTTTGACTATTTCATATATCAAACCCTCTCTGACTCTATGAGATTTCAGGCACATCATGTTGATTCTGTGTGAATAAAGTGGACGTCAGGCAGTGTTTGTTTGGATAAGACAGATAATTTTGTTGTTAATTTTAGAGAGAGAAGCACATTATTCTGCGTAAATCATGCCATCCTAGAACACCGACTCCGTCGCCTTGGATATATATATATATGTCTGATTGACTTTTCAATACAGACTTTGGTACGGAAGTATGTCATTTTAAGTCTTCATATACCAATACAGAAAGGAGAGCTAAATGAATCTTCAATGGGGATGCGGGTGTATAGGAGAAAAACAAATATGCTTAGACGAAATATAATTGAGAATTTTCACAATTTTATTTCACTTAACGTTTTAAGTTTTCCATCTTCTCTACTTTTTCTCTTTTAATTGATTAAAGATAGCCATTAGAGATTTCAAAGAGAAAAACTGACTAGAGAACAAAGAATAGTATTTTCGATAACTTTTCCACTAGGTTCTACAGTTATATATATATATGTATCCATAATGGTTGGGATTATTTTAAGTGAATTTATAATGATTCAATCTGATTGGGTGCTCAAATTATCCCATGAAAATTGGTAACATCTATGGTCTGAATATTTAGCAACTAAATATTTATTTAGACAAATGTGTAATAATAAATTAGGAATATAAGGAATCTACACATATGGGACAGAGGAGGTCATACGTAATATGTAGGACGTAGCACTGTATTTTTGGATTTACAGATCTCACATCAGGGTCAATGTGGCAATTAGTGGCCGAACTTGTCTCTCTTATCCCTCCAGCTTTACGGCTGTTTTACGCAAGTTGCAATGACTTTCGGGGCAAAGTTAAACTTTAAGCACCACTAACAACAACTACCAATCAGTATGTGATCTCGAATGCAACAATCATCTGAAGGAGGCATTTTTGTGTATGGAGTGCATATATTTTCGAGAGAAAAAAATGCATAAAAACTGCATAAAACTGTTATAGAGGATACCTTTCTTTTGCATGTGATAAAAGTAGCTCTCAGGTTTAGATTGGAGTGTCAACAGAGTATAATTCCATTGCGGGTAAAATTTAATTTAATAAAGTTTCATAGTGTTATTTACTGAGCAATAAATTGTGCTCGAAACGCCATCAGTAAATATCACTGTATAACACTGTGAGACGTTATCAAAACAAATTTTACCCACGATGGAATTATACTCTACCACAACGTACAAGTTCTATTCTTATATCAACAGAGTAATTTAACCACATTCTACTCATGTAATTGTTTAGGTCTTCTAGCCCTGATCTTTCCTGAACCTAACCCTAACGTGAAAATATCCCTAAACTAACTGTAATCTAAATAGAACCAAACCCACTGTCGCCTTTGTTGGGTTTACTTAACCTTAACTTGTCCTTGCCTTGAAGCGTAACTTAATCTTTCCCAAACCTGAGCTGGAACATGCCAAAAACCTCATTTAATAACAGTACACTTCGATTTGATGATGACGACATTATTTGCCGAATTTCACTAATTTGCTCAAGGAACCTAACCTACTACATTAAGAAACTCAGACTAACTGGAGTCCCTCAACCTCTGCTTACACAATTTGTCAACTCTCGTATCCTACCTATTCTACTTTACCGTTCCCCGTTAGTCTTTCCTGGGTTACTGAAAAAGGATTATACCATCCTGAGAAGGATGTTGAAGGTAGTTAGCAGGACTAGCGGTGTAAAACTCAGTCAGCTCGTCACAACATTAGTGGATAAGCATCTGAATACATGTGAGAAATGGTCTAAAACCATACTCTCTGACCCTCAACACCCCCTCTATTCCCAACTCTCTCCCTGCATCTCATCAGGTAGAACCAGAAATCAGTATAAAATAATATATGCTCGCACAACCAAGTATAGGAACTCAACGATACCATATTTGGCCCGTGTTCTAAGTGACAGAGACAATGTTAGGCGTGAAACCTATGACTTGCTTTGTTGTTAATAACATAATTTTGGCCCTTGTTTTTTCCCCCTTACACTCTCTTATTTGTACTCTATAGTGAACAACCTTCTTAAACATACTTAGCTGCTTAAAATTATTATCATTGGCTTACATTTTTATTCTTTATTCTATTCCTTCTTTGTACATCTACTGGGTCCGACTATATTATCACTATGATTATTAAAAATTGTCCCGTCATTAACCATCATGTAACATTAGTTTTGTGGTTGTTCTTTGTTCGGCACTATTTAACTGACAATCTTGTTTGTTATTGCCACTATCACCATCTTAAAAAATTTTGTATTATGCATGATTCCTCACACTGACACTACAAACAACCGCATTAGTACTGACAAAAAAAAACCTGAAATGTTTATCTTATGATTGCTTAGTGTTGTTCAATCAAATTAACTGATCATCTTGGCTATAAACATTTTTTTAAGAACATCTCATAATTTCCCGTATGATTATAGCTGTTACTGTTCACCACGCATACACATATCGTAGCTTCCACTAACTAATACTGAAATATTTTTTTTTCATTATTTGTGTTGATCTTCTTTTTTTACTCAGTATTTTTATTTGCATTTTTTTTGGTTATTTCTGTTTCTTTTTTTGGTTTTTTTTATATTTTATTTTTTTTATAATACTCCTTTTAAATGTACGATGAAATTAGATGCAATATTGTAGATATGTGCTGAAAATTCCACACTGTACCACAAGTACTGTTTCTGGAATAAAGCGAAATTGTTATGTTATGTATGTTATGTTAAAAACGCGTTTCAAGGTCATTGGTGCGGTCGCACTCCATTGGTAGTTAGTTAGTGGTGCTTAAAGTTTAACTTGGCCACTTTCGGAGTTTGGAATAAGGGGGTACACGTTGGATGACAGAAAAGGGATTCCTCTATGCTTGTCCATTTGGACCAGGTGTGTTGATATCAGTTTGTTAGTGCTTTTCAATACACCTCTTTGTTTGGCCACACAGCTGTATATAGGCGTGAAGTTTATTAAGCAGTCTGAATAAAATGTATAATATGAACATTAAATAATAAGGATTCATTACTATGTATTCGGTGTTATCCATGATCCTTATTTAGCTTTGAAATCTGATTTTCATTTTAGTGTTACTTTCGTGCATGTTATTAAATAAACAATACCCATTGTTAAAATATAAGCAAACTATATATCATCTTTTTTTATTTAAACTCCCAACATCTATTCTCATTTCATCTTTTGTATAACAGAGCTTTGAATTTTATAAAATTCTGATCTAATTTGATTATTGAATTGTTTACACATTATAATTTATATTATTTACAGTATATTCTTATCACCATCTTTGTCAACTGCTTGTACTTTTATTATCATTGACCTTATTATTATTATTATTATTATTATTATCACCATTATTATTGCTATTATTATAATCCTTTATATTACTGTACTGACATATATATATATACATACAACATTTAACATTCATTATTTCTTTCATCCGTAAATTCACCGTCATTGGTTAGAAGTTTTTCATGTTCATAAGATTAAAGCTTAAAGCAGACTTAATTGAAACCAATTTTGCTCATATGTCTTGTTTGAATTTTAACAATAGGGAATATTTATGCATATTGTCATTGACATATGCTTAGAACTATAATCTACGCAGTCAGTAATATTCAATGTTATCTAAAAAGTAATAATGTTGTTATACTCCTTTGCTTTCCTACCAGGACATAGAACTACAAGCTTGAGCTTTGAAGTTTCATTAACAGTGGCGTCTATTTTTTACAGGATGAGGCTGCTAGCCTCGTGTTCAACTTTCCCTCTCTCCTGGACTTACTACCGGTTAAACGAGATTTAGAAGTGTGTCGACTGGCGATCGAATCTCGAACCATATGCGTGATTGGCAAGTATTCTACCATTGCATCACCGACGCACATTCTCAAACTATTGTGGATATATATATATACGTCAGTTTTCGACATAGAACTTTGCACCGATGTGCATCAGTTCAAGTCGCCACACTTCACGCCTTGTAGCACACAAAGCAAGAGAAGAAAGTAAAAGAAATGCATAATACAGACAGTAAACAGAAGTGTGAGACAAAGACAGAAATAACGACCAGTAGGGTGCAGCAGCTCGGGTGTGAGGACAAATACTCGCCGAAGACATTGGCTAGCGGTCGCCCTCTGTTGTGAATCGGCAGAAGTTAGAATTCATAGGCTGACCATTGGATCAGGTCCCAGTGGCTTAATGGTATACGAGGTCGCCTTGTAACCAGAGCATCCTGGATTCGAACCTCCTACCGTCCCGAGGATCCCAACCAGGAAGTCTACACCTTCCTACGTGGCTGGCTTAAACTAAGTGTTGTGGATTTCATTGACTGGTGCTATGTTTTTGTTTGACCATCACTAGCTCTTTATCATCCCGACCAACCCTACGTCAGCTAACATTGCCTGTCAGTCGAGGAAGGCGATGACTAGGCATACGTAACACATGTCCTAACCATCTCAGTCGATGTAGCTTCACAGCCTCATCGATTGATTTCCCCTGCTTACCTAGAACTCGACGCCTAACCTCAATATTGCTCACCTTATTA